TATATAAATATGTAACTAAATATTTTATTAGAATTTTTACTTAAATAATTATTTTGAATTTAATTATTAATTAAAAATAAATGTTTACTTTGTATTTTAATACGTGTAGTGTATTTTATATAAAAAAGTTTATATGAAATATATCACTGTACATACCACATACAACAGAGATTTTTAATGGATCCATTTCAATCTTCTTTTGCAATCCTTTTGCTATATGCTAATAATTTGCAGAATTATTTCGTCTGTTTGATCCGATCTATCACACTGGTCGATATGATTTAATTTGTTTTGCCTTTGAAATAGTTAACAGAAATCATAACACTTCGTTAGGAAAGTGTTTACATTTTTTCTTTATTCAAATATTCTTGATATAATATTATAAAAATTTGTTTTAAACATAAAATACGTTGCAAATTGCTTGCTCACAACTTATGAGTAATTAATCCTATTAAGAAAAAAATATTATAATCAATTTTATTTTAAACATAAAATATGCTGCAAATTGCTTGCTCACGACTTACAAGCAGTTGATCCTATTGAGAAAATAAATCTTGTGGAGTTATTGCTATAATTTTCTTTTAGTATAAAAAGAAACGACAAATGTATAATAACATTAAAATATACACGTACATTGCGTATCTCTTTCTTTTTCCAAATGTATAAGTGTAATCTCACTTGAGCCATCACTATAGTGGGTAGCACATAATTCAAATGCATCAAGTTAACTAGAGGTAAAAAGAATAAGGGTGCGATAATGAGAACGAATGCTAGATTTGCTGATAAGCATAAAATATATTTGGTTTTGTTTTCTACAGTACATGTTGCAAATGTTGAATTCCCTGGTTTTATATTAACATTTTCTAAAGAAATGTACATATATGATTTTTTTTATATATTAATATTATGCTGTAATCAATAAAAAAGAAAAAAAAACGTACTAAAATGGATAGTGGCGTTGAAGATTTTTTTTAAAACTAACTCTATCCATTTATCATTATTCATAGAGTCAGTTGTCACAAGTAAATCTATTTGTGGTAAAGCGTATTGCAATGTGTTTATTAAAAACGTCCTGCAAAATATTAATTATTCAGTATTAATTATAAAATAATAGAGAAATATGAATGGGAATAGGATTATTCTTGCATTAACTTTAAATAAAAGTTAGATCTAACTAAAATATTAAATAAAGTATTATAGTAATGTACTTATGAAAAATTGTAATAAACGATGTGCTTACTTATTATATGTACTTCTACAATCCATATAATTAAAGTCATTTTCTTTCAATAGAGAGATTGTTCAGTTACTATCATAGTAATATTTTGTTTTTGTGTCACAAATAATCAGTTTTATTAAGAGTTGATTTGCAATGTACATGCAATAGTGTTTCTTATTCAAAGAAACTTTATATCTGTTGAATGTGCATGTGTTGTGCAGAGTTATAGGAAAACTCGCATGTAATAATAATTATTTATAGGAGAAATAATGATTAGAAAATTAAAGTATTTGTCATATATATAAATTTATTATTTGCTATACATGTAGCAAAGTAGCAAAGTATCATCCTTTATAAGCATTTACAAATATTTAAATATTATAACAATATTTAAATATTATGTATTAAATATTATAAAAATATTCTCTTTTACGACATATAAATGAAAATTTTTGTTATAATATGCTTATAGTGTGAAATAATGAAGAGTGTATTATACTCAGGATTGATGGAAACTGTGTAACAAAAATTATTTTCTTAGAATTTTTGTGAAAACGGATTTTTGTTAGCAAAAGTATAAAAATATTAAACAATCAATTATATAATTCGTTTTTAATAATTAAATTAAATAGCAAAAAAAAATACAAAAAGTTTTATTTATTTTTAGCTTATTAATTAAATGTAAATTTTTACTTAAAATTTTTATTTAAAATTTACTATATTTTTAAAAATTAAAAAATTTTTAAATAATAATTTAATTGCAGAATTAAATATTTTAAAACAAAATATTGAAATTTAAGTGATTGAAACAAATTATTTTTTCGATACCTTTCCTAAAAAAAATCGCATTTACAATTTTGTAAAAAATAAATTTTTTCCATCAGACATGGTATATTCTCTCTTGTTTATTATAATATATTATAATATAATGTATAATATATTATATTATAACATATTATTGTTTATTATATTATAATATTATATTATAATATTAATATATTGTTTACTATATTATTGTTTATAATGTTATAATATATTATTGTTTATTATGTTGTAAAAATTAGTCTACTAAAGTAATAAAAAATGTTTGACTAATGTCAAAATTTATGCTAATATTTTCTTATTAGTGATACTAACTATTTAAAATCCTGATTTACTGAAAAAGGAAATTTGATTAGTATTGCTTGTACAAATGATGAAGCCGTATCACCCTTTGATGTTTTTGCCGGTAGTATTAAGAGTGCATTAGCATCTATAATATTAAACAATTTTTTATTCATCGAACTATCAACTTTGCAGGTAACTTGAGCGAAACGTTCTTTTACGGGCCATGATAAAGTCGCCCACACATATTGTGGACGTGAATGTAAAGGCAATTTCTGTTTTATCTGCAACGTTATAATAACATTATAATATGCATATACATTTCAAATTTGTTTTTATTCTATTATAACTTTACTTTAGCCATCACTATGGTAAAATCCTCAACGGATTTGAAATGGATCAATTTGACAATACGTAAAAGGAATAAATGCGCGATGACGAGAACGGATACTGGATTTCCTGGCAAACATAAGATATATTTGGTTTTGCCTTCAAATTCGCACGATGCAAATGCCGTTGACTTTCCTGGTTTTATATCAACATTTTCTAAAAAGCATACAATACATTAAATTAATTAAATAATATGCATAATAATATGCACTTTTTTATTTAGTATTGATATTATAACAAAGTCTAATATGAAGAAGAAAATACCAAAGTGCAATGTGGCATTAAAGTCGTTCTTTAAAATAGTCTTCAAACAGTCTTTATCATTAGAACAGCTAGTTGTCACAAGTAAATTTACAGTTTTTAGAGCTTCTTTGATTTTCTGTATTATAGTTGTCGAACTGCGTAATTGTTTTTTATTAGGAATTATTTAAAAAATGGTACAAGTATTATAAATTTAAACATAAAATATAAATATAATTTAGTAAATTAGATGTAATTCAAAATATTAATTTTAAAATTATAAAGTATATACAAAATTTTAATAAATTTTACTCACTCTTTAATGGAAATTCCAAAATCTAAAGAATTAAAACCATTTTCTTTTAATAGTGAGATTAAAATTGCCCGATTGCTGTCATATGAATGTTCTGGTTCTAAAGGTTCTCCAGGTTCCTGCAGCTTATTTCCAATAGTCAATACACCAATAGGTATTTCTTTAATAACATTTACTTGTCTCAAACCACACGCTGTCAGAAGTCCTATTTCCATTGAACCCATACGTATATTAGGATATAGAATTGTTTCTTCTTCTTCTATATCGCTACCTAAAAATCTTTGTAAGATAAAAACAAAAGAATAATTAAATAAGTTTTGATAGGAAATAAGCTATGTTGAGAAAGATGTAAAAAAATATGAACTGACGCCGAGAAAAATGTTTTGTATGATTTAACAAACCGTCGATTTTGGACGAAACAGACAGATACTGGTTGAATCTACCAAAATATCTATTAATGCAACAAGATTCTGGTAGATTCTTGTGATTCAGAATCTGGTGATTCAGAATCTGATAGATTCCACAATCTTTTTGGTTACGAGATCGTAACCAAATTTTGTTGCTCTAAAAGGAAGTCTGGTAGATTCAATCAGATTCTGTCTGTTTCGTTTAAAATCGAACAGATGGTTTGTTGAATCAACATTTTTCTCAGTATATATACCTAATATTTTGTCCATATTTTATCGGATGTGACGTTGTTTTAATTTCGTTTCCCTTGTCATCATAAGAAATTGCTACATCGTCCGCTGGTATAATTGCAATTGCTTCTGTATTTGAACGGAAACAATAATTAATTTATCATGATAAGCAAATTAGTATAATTGACAAGTACTAATTGTTTTTACCCGAAGGAATAAATTCTCCACTGTTTACCCATTTAGTAGTGACAGGATCAAGTATAATCGAATTGATTTTGCTTGACTAAAAAGGTTTTGTTTTATACTTCTAGTTCATTGCACATAAGCATTAATATTGCAGCTTACCTCATCTGATATCCCTTCCATTTTTTCTATATCCGTATCTACTACTACTGCATATCCGTGTTCAGTCGCAACTGAAAATAACGGCACATTAGTGGGACAAGTAACTTTTTCACATATTTGTTTGCCAAAGGAGTTTTTTATGTCCACACGTTCGATCTCTCTTTCGTTATCATTAGGTACAATTAGTACATCGCACATTATTTTAAATGCGTCGTCTACAGAAACTAGTCTGGGAAGACGTATCATTTGGTTTGTAGGTGCATGTATGTTAGCTTTGTCTATCTATGCGAAAAAAATATTAACTATAAAAAAAATTTAACGTATATAATTTGTTACATCATTATTTTATTGTTTTGAAAAGTATTTTACTTGTAAGTTTTTAGGACTACTTGAATTACATAATATGGACATATCTTTTTCTTTTTCCTTTTTTGAGAAGTTAGTAGTTTTAGGACTAGTTGAATTAGGTGATATGGATATATCTTTTTTTCTTCCTTTTTTGAGAAAGAGGATTGTCCGCTACTATTGGACGACATCATTTGGTCTTTTCCTACCTTCATCTTCATGAATAATGATGCGATTTGATTTCTCTATACAAATAAGTTTAATTGCACATATAATAATATGATTATTTAATTGTCATTGTTTTTTTTCATTTTTAATATTAAAAATTCTTTACTTCGTGTGGAATATACCCGTCAGAAATTGTAATAATATTTCGTAGCAAATATGCGCCAAGTACTATTACATTTTTATTTGTGACTACACTTTCTATTATGTCTAAATTGTTGCCCATTACGAAAAAAATGAATGCGTTTTTGCGATATGCACAGTATAGAGATCTATGAACACATTCATATGAAACATGTTAATTGATAATGTATTAATAAATTACAGCTTTTACTAAAATAATAACATATATTATTTAATAATAAAAATTATGCAAAATAATAGTAGTAATAAATCATTACTCAGAAATATTGAGCCTTAGAAGTATTGGAATTTCTGCAAATAATTTTGTTATTTTAGTTTTTGCATCACTGATTTTATCAATTTCTCCAATTATAGTATTTCTTAATGAGGGTGCACCAAGTACGAGAATGACATCGGTCTTATTTGTATCAGAGAAAAAAATTATTTTTTCCTATATTATAGAAATAAATTAATTATAATATAAAAAAATATTAAAAATATTTGTTGTTACCTTTAGATTCTCTACAGTTTGTATATTTGTACTTGTTAGTACTTTAGCCTCATCAAATGTTAGTTGTAACATTTTCGTCAAGATACAAAATAATTTCGTTGTATAGTTTTCGTCCATACATACTAAATAATTATAAAGAATATGTTATCTTATGTTAAATATCAAGAGACACGATAATGTCTCGATTTTCTCGCGCCAAGTTCACGCGCAGTGCAAGACCGACCGTGTCTTTTTACGCGAGCCCGAGAGTTGAGACGAGCCGAGATTATCGGATCTCAATAACGGTTGGGCCGATTAAGTTGATAATAAGCTCATCAATTTTACATAAATTAATATCTCATTATTTTCTGTATAAATACTTAGCAACAGCTGCCTTTTATGACTTTTTATAATTAAAAACCAAATTTTGATATACAGGGTGATTCAAAATAACCTGATGTCCTTGCAATGCCATATTTTTGAGCGAATTCTGAGACGATTTTTCCTTTTACAAAATTTTGTCCAAAGCTTAGTTTTTGAGTTTTAATTGAAAATAGTTTGCTACTTACGAGTCCGATACAACGGACAGACAAGGATGGTGCAATGCGTCATGAGATGATAATAAACACTTGACAGTCTCATTATACGTTGCGCGTCCCCAAGATCTATAGATCTTGGCGCGTCCCTGCCCGTTGTACCCAACTCGTAAGTTGCTACCTATTTTCAATTATAACTCGAAAACTAAGCTTTGGACAAAATTTTGTAAAAGGAAAAATCGTCTCAGAATTCACTCAAGAATATGGCATTGCAAGGACATCAGGTTATTTTGAATCACCCTGTATATGAAAAAATAATTATCTCCTTTCATACTATGAGAACTTAAAGATAAAACATATTAAGAAAGATATGTATTAATATTTAATATTGAGATATGTAAAGTGTAAATAACTTAATTATTTTTTTCATTCTATATAATAATAAATTCTTTTTTTTTTTATTTATTCAAACATAAATTTTTAATTTGCTTAGTAATTAATAAATAAATGTTTACTATATATATATATATATACATATTTTAGTGTAAATAATATATTTTACATAACAATACACACGCGGTACGTACCACCTATTATTGAAATTTTTGTATTTCTATTCATTTCAGCTTTTTGTTCCAATTCACTTCTTATCTACTAATAATTTACTTGCTACTGCAGAACTTTTATCGCGCAGATCGTGTGTATGATCCTATCTATTAGGCTCGACGATCTGAGTTGAACTAAATAGTCGTTGAATTTGGTGAAGTCTTAATGCTTCGAGAGAAAAATGTTTACATTTTTTTTTTCAAAGTATTTTGAATATGAGATTATGCTCAATATTGCTTTAAATATAAAACATGTTAAAAATTATTAGCTCACAGCTAATGAATAATTGATATTACAGAGCAAATCTTACGAAACATTTGTTACAAGCCTTCTTTTCATTAAAAAAACAATGAATATATTTGTCAAATGTATATATGATGGAGTTATAGTAAAAATAAAATAACAGCAAAATATGATTATTGATCGGCAGCAGAAAGTGATTCAAATTCGCGAGCAAACAAATATTAGAATTAGAAAGTATTATAATAAATAATTAAATCCTTTTACAAAAATTTTACAAAAATTAAATGGAAGCTTTAATTAAATAAGTTTTGTTTTGTAGGAGATTTTAAATCTTCTTTTGTATTGAATGGGTTTGAAAAATTATTACTGTGAGCATTCAAGGGTCTCAAGTCTATTTTCTCTAGTGTTCAAATAGTATCTTGTTACTAATACATATTTTTGTTAGTAAAAAAATTTTCAACAGATTTTGTTCTAAAAATACAAAAGTGAATAATTAATGAAAATGTTTCGAAAATAAATTGTTAGTATTATTTTTTTTACACTCTTTGTTATGTAAGATTTTTTTCGTAGAACCAATTTTGCTTTAAAAATATAATGTACTATAGAATTTTTAGTTTTTGTTTCACAAATAATCAGTTTTATTAAGAGTTGATTTGCAATGCACTTGCAATAGTGTATCTTATTAAAAGAAACTTTATATCTGTTGAATGTGCATGTGTCGTGCAGAATTATAGTAAAACACGCATGTAATAATAATTATTTATAGGAGAAATAATGATTAGAAAATTAAAACATTTGTCATATACAGGGTATCCGATAATTGCTGAATCACCTCTCGGGTGCAGGTAGAGCGGGTTAAACCGAGTAGAAAAGTCCTCTACCGTTTTGCGATTTTTGCAATAATTAATGAGAAATTAATTAAAGAAGATCGGCCAATTTCTGTAAGCGTGTCTGTGAGTCTAAGCGCGCAGCGAGAAGAGACAGCTCACTGTTACGTGGTCGCTAGGACGCAAGGATTTAGCGTTCAGCACCGCTCGTATGTTGCCGTTGTCAATTGTAGAGCGCTCCTCTCAACGCTTCATCGCGTGCCTAGTAACCAAATAATAGTGGACTACAGTCATGGCGGTACACCGCCACGGGTCTCTTCTCACTGCGCACTTAAACTCGCACGAATTGGCCGATATTTTTTAACTAATTCCCCATTAATTATTGCGAAAATCGCAAAATGGTAGAGGACTTTTCTACTCGGTTTAACCCGCTCTACCTACACCCGAGAGGTGATTCAGCAATTATTGGACACCCTGTATATAATTTTATTACTTACTACAATGTAGCAAAGTATCATCCTTTATAAGCATTTACAAACATATAAATATTATATTTAAATATTATTTGTCAAATAATATAAAAAGGTTTAAATATTATATGTCAAATATTATACAAATATTCATTCTTCCACGACATATAAATAAAAATTTTTGTTGTAATATGCTTATATGTATGAAATAGTGAAGTATTATACTCAGGATTGACGGAAATTGTGTAAGAAAAATTATTTCCTTAGAATTTTACTGGAAACGAATTTTTGTTAGCAAAAGTATAAAAATATTAAACATTATAAACATATTTCAATATTATATGTCAAATATTATAAAAATATTTATTTTTCCGCGACATATAAATGAAAATTTTTTATATCAATTATATAATTTGTTTTAAATCATTTATTTTTAAAAAATGTTTTGTTTAACTATTAAATTAAAAAATAAAAATAAATAAAAAAAGTTTTATTTATTTCCAGTTTACTAGTTAAATGTAGTAAACTTTTATTTAAAAATTCAATATCTTAAAATAAAACATTTAAGTTTAAATGATTGAAACAAATTATTTTTTTTTATACTTTTGCTATAAAAAATTGCATTTACAATTTTATAAAAAATAAATTTTTTCCATCAGTCATACTGCCATCAGGTATACTGTCTCTTGTTTATTATAATATAATATAATATGTTATTGTTTATTATGTTGTAAAAATTATTCTACTAAAATAATAAAAAATGTTTGGCTAATGTCAAAGTTTATACACTAATATTTTCTTATTAATAATATTAACTATTGAGAAATCTGTTTGATCAATATGAAATAGGAAATTTAATTAATATTGCTGTTACATATGGAATCTGCAACAAATCGCTCTCCGGTGTTTTCATTGATAGTATTAAGATTGCATTAGCGTGCATAAAACTAGATAAATTATTATCGATCGAATTGCTCTCATATTCTTTGCAGATCAAGTTTGCAACATCATCTTCCCTGGGCCACAATAAAGTCGCCAATACGTATCGTGGACGTGAATGCAAACGCAATTTTTGTTCTATCTGCAACGTTATAACATTATAATATCCATGTACATTTTACATTTTTTTTTAATTTTGTGATATAAAAATAATCTTACTCTAGCCATCACTACGGTGTGCATCCATTTGATACTGGAATACATCCAGTTAAGAAGAGGTAAAAGAAATAAATGCGCGGTTACGAAAAGAGATACTGGGTTTCCTGGCAAACATAAAATATACTTGGTTTTGTTATTAAACGTGCATGTTGCAAATGTCACTGACCTTCCTGGCTTTATGTTAACATTTTCTAAAAATGCATACAACAGTATAAATAATATTTTTTTTTAGCATTGATATTATAATAGAAAAAGCTAATGAGAAGAAGAAGATACCAAAGTGAAATGTGGCTTTAAAGTGATGCACCAAAATGTATTTCAAACAGTCTTTATTTTTTGAACAACCAGTTGTTACAAGTAAATCTACAGTTTCTAGAGCTGCTGTGATGCTTTGTATTATAAGCGTCGAACTATGTAAATATTGCTTATTAGGAATTATGTATAAAATAATAAAATTATTATGTATTCAAACAAAATATAAATATAAACAAAAAAACTGGACCCAAATTAAATTATTAATTATAAAGTTATAATAATGTGTATAAAAATTTTAATAAATTTTTTGTATTTACCTGTTAGTAGTAATTTCAAAATCCGCAGAATTAAAACCATTTTCTTTTAATAGTGAGATTAAAATTGCTCGATTGCTCTCATACGAATGTTCTGGTCTTAAAGGTCCTCCAGGTTTTTGTGACTTATCTCTAATAGTCAACACACCAATAGTCACTTCTTTAAGAACGTTTACATTTGTATAGCCACACGCTATTAAAAGTCCCATTTCCATTGAACCAATACGTGTCTTAGAACGGACAATTACTTCTTCTTTTTCAATATCGCTACCTGGAAATCTTATACGATGGAAACAAGAAAAAATAATTAAATATATCTGGGTAAGAAATACAGGCTATGTTGAGAAAGGTGTAAAAGAATGTGAATCTATATACTTAATATTTTGTCCATATTTTATCGCGTGTGATGTTGTTTTAATTTCGTTTCCCTTGTCATCAGTAGAAATTGCTACATTATCCTCTGGTATGACCGCAGTTGCTCCTACATTTAAACGGAAACAATCATTACTTTATCATGACAAGCAAATTAGTATAATTGACAGGTACTAATTGTTTTTACCCAAAGGAATAAATTCTCCACTGTTTACCCATTTAGTAGTGACAGGATCAAGTATAATCGAATTGATTTTGTTTGACTGAAAAGATTTTGTTTTATATTTCTAGTTCATTGCACATAAGCATTAATATTGCAGCTTACCTCCTTTGATATCCTTTTCATTTTTCTCATTTCTATATCTGCTATTACTGCATATCCGTTTTTAGTTGCAACTGAAAATGATGGCACATTACTGTAGCACGTTTGATCTTCAAGTAATCGTCTACCTAAGGCGTCTTTTATGTTCACAGTTTCAATCTGTACTGGGATTCTTTTTGCACTTATTATTATGACATATATTATTTGCAATGCATCTTCTCCAGTAATTAAGCGTATTGGTTGGTACGTAAATGCAGATGCGTTAGCTTCGTCTGTCGTCTGTGAAAAAAATATTAATTACATATATAATTTACATATATAATTTGTTAAATAGTTATTTTATTGCTTTGAAAAATATTTTACTTGTATGTTTTTATCAGATGTTGAAGTAGGCGATGTTGACATTTCTTCTTTTTCTTCTCCTTTTGGAGCAGAGGATTGATCGCTACAACTACTCGACATTATTTGGTTTTTTCCCTTGACAAACGAGTTCAATTGCACGTTTAATAATATAATTATTTAATTGTTATTATTTCTTATTGATTTTAATATTAAAAATATCTTACCTGAGATAAATAATTAGACATATTACAACGTGTAATAATATTTCGTAGCAAATATGTGGCAAGTGCAATTGATTCTGCGGATTTTGCAGCTGTTATTATGTCTGATTCGTCGCCAAATACAGAAAAAATTAATGTGTTTTTATGATATGCGTGATATAAGAATCTAAGAACACATTTGTATGAATTATATTATTTCATATTGTATTGATAAATTACAATTTTTACTAACAATAAGGTAATGACATATTTTTTTATATTAAGAATTATGCAAAATAATAGTAAAAATAAATCTTTACTTAGTCGTAAAATTGGGCTCTAGAAGTACTGGAATATCTGCAAATAATTGTGCGATTGCAGTTTTTGCACCGCTGACTTTGTCAATTTCTTCAATTATGGAATTTTTTAATGATTGTGCACCAAATATGAGAATGGCATCGGTCGTATTTACGTCAGTAAAAAAAACTATTTTTTCCTATATTATAGAAACAAATTAATTGTAATATAAAAAAGGTATTTAAAATATTTGTCGTTACCTTTAACTTTACTACACTTTGTACATTTGTATCCATTTGTACTTCAGTCTTATCAAATTTCTCTTGTAACATTGTCACCCAAAGATTAAATAATTGTTTTGCTAATTTCTTGTCCATACATACTAAATAATAATAATAATAAAATAAAGTTTAAAGAATATGTTACATGCCAAGTTTACATGAATTAATGTCTGATTATTTTTTGTATCAATATTTAGCAATAGCTGCTTTCTATAACTTTTTATAACTTTTCATAACTAACAACGAAAATTTTAAATATATGAAAAAATAAATATCTACTTTTATACTATGAGAACATTGATTAAAGATATTAAGAAAGGTATGTAATAATATTTAATATTGAGATTTTTAAAAGTAAATAACTTAATTATTTTTTTCTCACTCTATATAATAATAAATTCTAATATATTTTTCGTTTATTGTTCAAAACAATAATTTTAATTTGTTTAGTAATTTATAAGTAAATATTAACTATATATATTTTAGTGTAATACATTTTACATAACAATACATATGATAGCGGTACATACCACTTATAATCGAAATTTTTGTATTTCTGTCCATTTCAGCTTTTTGTTCCAATTCACTTGTTATCTGCTAATAATTTACTTGTTACAACAGAACTTTTATCGTTCAGAACGTTTGATCTTATCTATTAGACTCGGCGACTTAATTTGAAATAAATAGCAGTTGAATCTGCTGAAGTCTTAATGCTTCGAGAGAGAAATGTTTACGTTTTTTCTTTTGAAAGTATTTTGAATATGAGATTATGACCGATATTGTTTTAACATAAAGCATAAAACATGTTAAAAATTATTAACTCACAACTAATGGATAATTAATATCGTGCAGAGCAAATCTCACAAAGCATTTGCTATAAAAGCTTTCTTTTTACTGAAAAACAATGAATATATTTGTCAAACGTATATATGATGGAGTTATAGTAAAAACAAAATAACAGCAAAATTTGATTATTGATCGGCAGTAGAAAGTGATTCAAGTTCGCGAGGAAACAAATATTAATTAGAAAGTAATATAATAACTAATTCAATTTTTACAAAAATTTTATAACAATAAAATGACTTAAAATCTTTAATTAAATAAATTTTGTTTTGTAAGAGATTTTAAATCTTCTTTTGAATGGAGTGAGTTTGAAAAATTATTGCGATAAGCTTCAAGTCTATTTGCTTTTGTGTTCAAATAGTATCTTGTTAGTAATAAAATTTTTAATAAATTTTGTCTAAAAATATAAAGGTGAATAATTGATAAAAATGTTTCAAACATAAATTGTTTATTTTTTTTTCAAAATCTTCGTTATGGAACATTTTGTCGGTGGAGCCAATTTTGCTTTAAGAGTATAATGTACTATAAAATTTTTAATGTTTGTTTTACACAATAATTTAATTACAAAATAATCAGTTTTATTAAAAGTTAATTTTGCAATGCAATAATATTTTTTGCAATAATGTTTCTTATTAAACCAAATAATAACTTTATATTTGTTGAATGTGTATGTGTTGTGCAGTATTATAAGAAAACTCGTATGTAATAATAATTATTTATACAAGAATTAATGTTTAGAAAATTGAAGCATTTGTCCATATATATATATATAAATTTTTATTTGCCATAATGTAGTAAAGTATTATCCTTTATAAATGCTTACATATATTTAAATGTTATATGTCAAATAAAAAAAATTTATTCTTTTATGACATATGAATGAAAATTTTTGTTATAATATGCTTCTAGTATGAAATGGTAAAAAGTATGTTATACTTAGAATTCACAGAAAATATGTAACGAAAATTAATTCTTTAAAATTTTCTTGAAAATGGATTTTTGTTGCAAAAGTATTAAACAATTAATTACTTAATTTGTTTTAAATAATTTATTTTATAAAAATATTTTGCTTTAGTAATAAATAAAAAAATAAATAAAAAGTTATTTTTTTTTTTAAGTTTAATCATTGATTAAAGTAATAAAGTTTTATTTTAAAATTTAATTACAAAATTAAATATTTTAAATTAAAACGTTAAAGTTTAAGTGATTGAAACAAATTATTTTCTTTAATACTTTTGCTCTAAAAGAAATTGCATTTATAATTTTATAAGAAACAAATATTTTCTGTCAGTCATTAGTAGTATATTCTCCCTTATTTGTTATATTACAAAAACTATTCTATTAAATTAATAAAAAATGTTTGGCTAATGTCAAAGTTTATGTATATTAGTATTTTAGTATGTATATTAGTATTTTCTTATTAGTGATACTAACTATTTAAAAACCTAGTTTTCACTGTTTTTGTATGAAACAGGAAATTTGATTAGCATTGCTTTTACAGGTGATGAAGCCATTAGCGTATCACTCTCTGATGTTTTTGCCGGTAGTGTTAAGAGTGCATTAGCATCTATAATACTAGATAATTTGTTATTCATCAAACTATTTTCTCTGCAGATAATTTCAGCGGATTTTTTTTTTTCGGACCATGATAAAGTCGCCCACACATATCGTGGACGTGAATGTAAAAGCAATTCTTGTTTTATCTGCAACGTTATAACAACATTATAATATGCATATACATTTCAAATTTGTTTTTATTATACTATAACTTTACTTTAACCATCACACTAATATTCTTATTGTAATTTGAATGTCTCCATTTGACAAGAGGTAAAAGGAATAAATGCGCGGTGACGAGAACGGATACTGGATTTCCTGGCAAACATAAGATATATTTGGTTTTGCCTTTGAAATCGCACGATGCAAATGCCGTTGACTTTCCTGGTTTTATATTAACATTTTCTACAAACATACGTATAATACACCAAATAATATATATTTTCTTCAGCATTGATATTGTAAGAGAAAAAAAAGAAAAACATTAATAACAGGAAGAAAATACCAAAATACAATGTGGCATTAAAGTTGCTCTTTAAAATAGTCTTCAAACAGTCTTTATCATTAGAACAGCCAGTTGTCACAAGTAAATCTACAGTTTTTAGAGCTTCTTCGATTTTCTGTATTATAATTGTCGAACTGCGTAATTGTTTTTTATTAGGAATTATTTTAAAAATAATACAAGTATTATAAATTTAAATATAAAATTTAAATATAATTTAGTAAGATAGATGTAAATCGAAATATTAATTATAAAAATTGTAATAAAGTATATAAAAAATTTCCATAAATTTTGTTTTACTCACTTTCTAGTGGAAATTCCAAAATCCAAAGAATTAAAACCATTTTCTTTTAATAGTGAGATTAAAATTGCCCGATTGCTGTCATATGAATATTCTGGTTGTAAAGGTCCTCCATGTTCCTGTAACTTATCTCCAATAGTCAATACACCAATAGGTATTTCTTTAATAACATTCACTTGTTTCCAGCCACACGCTGTCAGAAGTCCTATTTCCGTTGAACCCATACATATACTAGGATGTACAATTAGTTCTCCACTTTCTATATCGCTATCAAAAATTCTTTGTAAGATAGAAACAAAAGAATAATTAAATTTTGATACGAAATATAAGCTACGTTGAGAAAGGCGTAAAAAAATATGAATGTATATACTGATCATTTTCTTCATATTTTATCTTGTCTGACTCTGTTTCAATTTCGTTTTTCCTGTCATCAGAAGATCTTGCTACCTTGTCTGCTGGTATAACCGCAGTTTCGCCTACATTTAAACGGAAACAATAATTAATTTATCATGATAAACAAATTAGTATAACTGTCAAGTTCAAATTGTGTATACCCCATGTCATGTATTTTGTACTCGTCCATTCAGATATCATCTCAGTGGAAGGTTTAACCGGATTGTTTTGTGACTGAAAAAGTTTTGCTTTATACTTATAGTTCGTTGCACATAAGCATTATTATTGCCGCTTACCTCCAACTTACCTTACAGTCTTTTACTATTGCTACTCCTTTGTATATTCGTCTGCCAAAGGCGTCTTTTATGTTCACAGTTTCTGTTTGTAAGAGTTTCGTATCAATTGAACTGGTTATTTTTAATAGCGCTTCGTCTTTAGAAACTGTAGTTTGACATATTTGCCTTGTAGATATGCCGGCTTTGTTCACCTATGTAAAAAAATCTTTATTACATATATAATTTGTTACATCATTATTTTATTGTTTTGAAAAGTACTTGTAGTTTTACTTGTAAGTTTTTAGGATTAGTTGAATTAGATGATGAATTAGATATAAACATATCTTTTTCTTCTTCCACTTTTAAGGAAGAAGATTGTCCATTATCACTACACAACATTGTTTGGTCTTCTTGATAAATGGACTTTATATTCGCGTTTAATGATATCTCTTGGCCTTCTCTCTGTACAAATAAGTTTAATTGCACATATAATAATATGATTATTTAATTCTTATTATTTATTCCATTTTTAATTTTAAAAATCTTTTACTTTGTGTAGATGATTACACTCGTTACAAATTGTAAGAACATTTCGCAGTAAATATGCGGCAAGTATCATTGAATTTGCACTTGATTTTACAATATTTATTATTTGTGTTTCGTCGGCAATCGAGCAAAAAATTAATGTGTTTTTTCGATATGAATAATGTAGAAATCTAAGAACACATTCATATAAAATATTAATAAATTACAGCTTTTATTAAGATAATAATAGATATTTTTTTATATAAGAATTGTAAAAAAGAATACAAAAAAATAATAAATCATACTCAGAAATACTGGGCTTTAGAAGTATTGGAATTTTTGCAATCAATTTTACGATTGTAGTTTTTGCATCGTTGACTTCATCAATTGTTTCAATTATGATATTTTTTAATGAGTTTGCACTAAGTATGAGAATGATATCGGTCGTATTCGTTAGCTCATGAATGAGAGAAATTATGTCTTCCTATATTGTAGAAACAAATTAGTTAACATATAAAAGAAATATACAATAAATTATTTAAAATATAAAAAAAATAAAACAAATAAAATATTTATCATTACCTTTAATTTTGTTAGACTGTGCATATTTTTATCTATTGTACGTACATGTATATATACGTCACTCTTATTAAATGTTTGTGGGAATTCTTCCATCAAATTTAATAGCATGCTTTTCTCATCCACACATGCTAAATAATTATAATAGAATAGAGTTTAAAGAATATGTTAAAATATCAAGTTTACATTAATCTCCGATCATTTTTTATATAAATATTTAGCTGCTTTTTATAACTTTTTATAATTAACAATCAAATTTTAATTAACAACCAACAACTAAAATAATTATCTACTTTTATATTATGAGAACATTAAAGATTAAAGATATTGAAAAACACATATATTAATATTTAATACTGAGATATGCAAAATAAATAATTTAATTATTTTTTTCACACTCTAAATAATAATAAATTCTAATATATCTTTAATTAATTCAAATAATAGGTTTTAATTTGCTTAGTAGTTAATAAATAAATGTTTACTATATATATTTAGTATATGTAATACGTTTCACATAATAATACGGTACATACCATTTATAATTGAAATTTGTATGTTGGCATTCATTTCAGTATTTTGTTGCAATTCACTTGTTATCTGTTAATAACTACTGCAGAACTTTTATCGTTTAAGACGTTAGATCACGTTGATCGTTCTCGGTGATTTGATTTGAAGTCGTTGAATTATGCTTCGACAGAGAAATGTTTATATTTTCTTTCTTTTCAAAATATTCAATATGAGATTATGATTAATTTTGCTTACACATGTGTAAAAATTTTTACTTGAGAACTAATAGACTATTGATGCTACTCAAAGCAAACCTTGTGAAGCATTTGTTATAATTTTTTTAGTAAAATCCCATAAATCTATATGTGAGAAACGTATACATGATAGAATAACAGTATAAATAAAATATTCTGACAACAATAATATGATCGAGAGCAGAAACTGATTCATATTTGTAAGGAAAAAACCCTAAATTATAAAATAGTTTGATTAATTAAATTAAATTTTTTAGTTGAATAAATTTGTTTTGTAAGAGATTTTGAAAGTTTTTTTGTATAGTGTGGATTTTTGAAAAATTCCTGCGGCGAGCATTGAACTTTAAAGTCTATTTGCTTTTCAGCTTGAATAGTAAACTGTTAGTGATGCGGATAAAAATTTTAATAAATTTTTAGTCAAGATGTAAAGTTGAATAATTAATAGGAATGTTTCGAGACAGAATTATTTATATTTGTTTTTCAGAGCATTTTTTAAGTTAGATTTTTGTTAGTAGATCCAATTTTGTTTTGAACATGTAATGTCAGAACTTTTAGTTTTTATTTTAATTTAATTAGTTTTAAAGTGTTGATTCGCAATGCATTTGCAACAAGTTTTTTTAAAACAGATAATATATTTATATGTGCGGAAGGTGTACGTGATGTATTACAGGAGAAATCTAATGCAATAGTAGTCTTTTATAAAAGAAATAATTATTATTGATTTAAAGCATTGTCACATTAATTTTTATTCTTAGTTATAGTACATTAAAATATTATTCGTAAACACATTACAAAATATTCAAATATCATAGAAATATTAATACTAGAGCAATACATTAATGGAAATGAATATGCTATCTGACATACATATTGTATCGTACACTCTCTCTTGTTCATTATGTTGTAAAAATTGTTCTATTAAAGTAATAAAAGAATGTATAACGATTGTCAAAGTGTATAGACTGGTATTTTACTTCTGAATGATACTAACTATTGAAAAATCTGTTTTATTTATATATAGTTGGCAATTTGATTAGTATTGCTGGTACAAATATTGGATCCGCCAGCGTATCTACCCCCGGTTTTTTTGCTGGTAATATTAAGAGTGCATTAGTATTTATAATTTTGGATAATTTATCACTGGTCACATTATTTCTGCAATAAATTTCTGCATATTTTTTTTTCTTCGACCATAATAAAGTCGCCCACACGTATCGTGGACGTGAATGTAAATGTAAAGGCAATTCTCGTGTTATCTGCAACGTTATAACAATATTATTATAAGCATATTCATTGGAAATCTTTTATTTTTATTTAGCTATATAAAGACAATCTTACCTTAGCCAACACTTTAGTGAACTTCTCATCGGTATTGGAGTGTAGCATTTTAATAAGAGGTAAAAGAAATAAATGCGCGGTGACGAGAACGGATTCTGGTTTACTTGGCAAACATAAGATATACTTCATTTTGCAGTCAAAGCTGCATGATGCAAATGTCGTTGATCTTCCCGGCTTTATGTTAACATTTTCTAAAATATGCATATAATACATCAAATAATATGTATTTTTTTATCAGCATTGATATTACAACAAAAAAATCTAATATAAAGAAAAAAAATACCAAAGTATAATGTTGCTTTAAATTCGTGTTCTAAAATACGATTCAAAAGGTCTTTATCTTTAGAACAGCGAATTATTACAAGTAAATCTGCAGTTTCTAGAGCTGCTGTGATGTTTTGTATTATAATTGCCGAACTGTGAATATATTGTTTATTAGGAATTATTTATAAAATAATAAAAGTATTATAAATATAAACATAAAATATAAATATAACTAAAGTAATTAGACATACATCAAAATATTAATTATAAAAATTATAATAAAGTATATAAAAATATTCAATAAATTTTGTTTTTCTTACTTTTTAGGAAAAATTCCAAAATCCGAAGAATTAAAACCATTTTCTTTTAGTAGATTTGAGATTAAAAATGCCCGATTGCTGTCATATTTTGGTTGTAAAGGTTCTCTATGTTTCTGCAACTTATGTTCAATAGTCAGCACACCAATAGATTTTTCTTTAATAACATCCACTTGTTTCCAGCCACACGCTGTCAGAAGTCCTATTTCCATTGAACCCATACGTACATTAGAACGTACAATTACTTCTTCTTTTTTTATATCGCTACCTGGAAGTCTTTGTAAGATAAAAATAAAAGAATAATTAAAAATACGTTTTGATGAGAAATATAAGCTATGTTGAGAAAGGTGTAAAAAAATATGAACTCTATATACTTAATATTTTGTCTATCTATTATCGAATGTGACGTTGTTTTAATTTCGTTTCCCTTGTCATCATAAGAAATTGCTACATTGTCCTCTGGTATAACCGCAGTTGCTTCTGTATTTGAACGGAAACAATAATTAATTTATCATGATAAGCAAATTAATATAATTGACAAGTACTAATTGTTTTTACCCGAAGGAATAAATTCTCCACTGTTTACCCATTTAGTAGTGACAGGATCAAGTATAATCGAATTGATTTTGCTTGACTGAAAAGGTTTTGTTTTATACTTCTAGTTCATTGCACATAAGCATTAATATTGCAGCTTACCTCATCTGATATCCCTTCCATTTTTCTTATTTTTTCTACTACTACTGCATATCCGCGTTTTGTCGCAACTGAAAATGATGGCACATTACTGTGGCATATTACTGAATCTAATAATTGTCTGTCAAAGGCGTCTTTTATGTCCACAGTTTCAGTCAATACGCTTTCATCTACATTTTCTATTATTCCGTATAACATTGTTGTTAATGCTTCGTCTACAGAAATTATGGGAGGACATGTAATTTGGCTTGTAGATGCATTTATGTCGTGTTTGCCCATCTATATAAAAAAATTTTAATTACATATATAATTTGTTAAATTATTATTTCATTGTTTTGAAAAGTATTTTACTTGTGAATTTTTAGGACTACTTGAATAAGATGATGTAGACATATTTATTTCTTCATCCTCTTTTTGAGAAGAGGATTGTTCGGATATACTGCACGACATCTCGTCTTCTGTCTGGACAAATATAATTTACATATATAATTTGTTAAATAGTTATTTTATTGCTTTAAAAAGTATTTTACTTGTATGTTTTTATCAAATGTTGAAGTAGGCAATGTTGACATTTCTTCTTTTTCTTCTCCTTTTGGAGCAGAGAATTGATCGCTACAACTGCTCGATATTATTTGGTTTTTCCCCTTGACAAACAAGTTTAATTGCACGTTTAATAATATAATTATGTAATTGTTATTATTTTTTATTGTTTTTAATATTAAAAGTATTTGTATACCTCGTATGGATGATTAGACTTGTTACAATTTGGATGAATATTTCGTAACAAATATGCGGCAAGTACCATTGAATCTTTAGTTTTTTTTACAATGTTTGTTATGTCTGATTCGTTGCCAAATGCGAAAAAAATTAATGTATTTTTGTGATATGCATAGTTTAGAGATCTAAGAACAAATTTATATAAAACATATTATTCTATAATGCATTAATAAATTACAGTTTTTACTAAGATAATGATATATATCTTTTATACTAAGAATTTTTTTTATACCAAGAATTATACAAAATAATAGTATTAGTAAATCATTACTCAGAAATACTGGACTCTAGAAGTATTGGAATTGTTGCAAAAAATTTTACGATTGCAGTTTCTGTATCGTTGACTTCATCAATTGCTTCATTTATGCTATCTTTTAATGAGTGTGCACTAAGTACGAGAATGATATCGGTCGGATTCGAATCAGTATAAAAAATTAGTTTTTCCTGTATTATAGAAATTAATTAATTAAAAGATAAAAGAAACATTTAAAATATTTGTCGTTACCTTTAGTTCCTCTATATTTTGTGTGTTTATACAATGTATACTGTCGTGTACTTTTGTCTCATCAAATGTTTGTTGTAACATTTGCCTCAAAGCATTATATAATTGCGTTGTTTCGTCCATACATACTAAATAATTATAATAAAATAGAGTTTAAAATATATGGGTAAATGCCAACTTTACATGAATTAATGTCTAATTATTTTTTGTTTTAATATTTAGCAATAACTGCTTTTTATAATTTTTTATAACAAATAGTCAAATTTTTGAATATATTATTTAATATTGAGATATAAAGTTAATTATTGAATTTTTTTTTTATTTAATAATAAATTCTAATGCTGTTATCTATTATTCAAATAATAATTTTTAATTTGCTTAGTAGCTAATAGGTAAATGTTTATTATATGTAGTTTAGTATATGTAATACATGTTGCATAACGGTACTTACCACTTATAATTATAATTTTTGTATCAGTATCCATTTCAGTTTTCTGTTGCAAATCACTTGCCATCTTCTAATAAGTATTGCAGAATTTTTATCGTTTAGGACGTGTGTTTGATCCTACCTATCAGACTCGACGACTTGATTTGGAGCTGACAATGAAGTCACGTCGCCGCAAGCTGCTTCACGTCGCTGCTTCGAGAGGGAAATGTTTGTTTTTTTTCTTTTCGAAGTATTTGTTTTGAAATAGAATTTTGATTAGTTTTGCTTTAAACACAAAATATGTTTTAAAGATTTTCACTTGATAACTAATAGATTATTGATACTGTTCAGAGCAAATCTTGTGAAGCATTTGTTATAATTTTTAAAATATAAAAATCTATAAATCTATATCTGAGAAACATATATATATATAATGATTTATACTATTATTAGTATATTTTATACTAATATACTAATAATTTAGTTATACTATTATTAGTATAAATAAAATATTTTAATAACAGAATATGATTATATATAAAATAATTAACAACAGAAATTGTTATAACTGCAATCGATAACGTGTGCGCGACAGTAGATACATCAATTGTAGTTAGTTTCTTCGTTTCTCACAGCGCGTCGCGTAATTCGGAACGCAGAGCGCGAACGAAGTACGTGTCGTGTATGTATTCGTATTAAAACTTTTTATTTTTATTAAATATGTATAAATAATGTGCGAGTTTTCCGGTAGTGCCAATTAAAAACGATGAACGATTGCAGGAACGTATTTTTTACCTCAAATATTTGCTATCAATGATATTTTATTGATTGTTTATTCGCTGGATCGTGAAGCGAAAGAGGTTATATGTCTCATAGTGACATTTCAATTGTGAATACAGATTTTAATACCATAGACATGTAATTCGTCAGAATGAAGTATATCGGATAAAACAAAGTTCTGTCGTGTATATGTTGACTGTTACAAGTTACAACTATCATCGTTTATCTCGTTTGTTTTCCATGTGTGTACGTGTATGGTGTTGAGTCGACCGTTACTATAAAATTTTGCGGGACAAGTATGTGTGCATGTCGCAGCACAAAATGCATTTTATCCTAAGCTTGCGTTTCGCATACCGCAGTATGCAAATTCGCGACGTGAGTTGGCGATTTTCATTAAGCGAAGTACTTGTGCAATTTGATTTTTGTTAATATCGTTTCATCAGTATGATTAAAGGTACGTTCCACTTGGCGATCGCAACGCTTGTGGAATTATTTTATCTTTGTTTTTCATCGAAAGTTAAAGAAAGATAGATAATGTTCACGAGCGTTGCGATCACCAAGTGGAACTCAGCCTAAGTGCGCCAATAAGATCTCCAATATTCATATTTTAATGCTATGAAATTGGTAGTATTGTTAGCTGACGTCGTGCGCGTCTTCTTCCGGCCATTATTATAGTTTTGTATGGGTTTGTGGATTTGGAGCGTAGAATGCAAACGCACTGCGATCCATCGCGTATTTTATCTATTAGAAGTAAATAGTGATCTATCTATCAGAAGGAAATTTCTGTCGGAAGTGCCAATTAAAGTGACGGGCAAGTGTGAGAATATATTATTTACCACGTGTTTTCGCGATTAACAGTGTTTTCGCTGCAGCAAATTAAAACCGATCTCGAGTATTGAAACGTTGTACGTGCGCAGTATGCTTTTTGTTGAATGTAGAGAAACGAATAAAGTTGTTGCGTGTGTTGTGTTGTTGCGTGATACAAAATGTTTTATCTCGTGCTTGCAACGTAAATTCGTATTTTTTGAAAGTGGAATATTGGCTTTTGTTTGGTAAGTACGCGCAAAGTTAAATAATGGCTTTTAATATTCATCAGTTTTGAAGTTTTCTGAACTTATCCGTTATTAGTAGATTTTTGAGGTTTCTCATTTGATAAGGATATAAAAATCAATATGTGACGTGCCTGAACGCGTAAATTTTTGACAGTCTAATTAAGAAATTTTAAAATCTTCTCATTTAAAAATTATTGCAGCCTAGAAATTTTTTTGATAAAGATTTTTAGTATCAAATAATCTTGAAAATTTACTATTAGCAGGTGATACGATTAATTTGAGTCATTCTGTATATTTTATAATTTTTAACAAATAAAATATATATTAATTTTTTTAGGAATGGCTGAAGGCATATGTAGCTAGGTGAGCAAACGACCAGTAGCTTACAACGACACTGGTGAGTAAATTTATTATGTATGCATAATTAACAGCATTAAGAATGCTTTACACTAAATATTGTGTATAAAACACTGATGTCATTCACAATATTTTTGTATTTGTCAATGTTTATTATACAATTTTGCTGAAAGCTCTAATAATTATATTTTTGGCTCTACAAATTACATTTTTACATTGAAAATTTTTTATTTTATACAAGTTACACATGCTTATGTAATTGCTGTTTATTTTATTATGCTTTTATTTATTTTTGTTATTTAATCAACGCATCAAAGCTTTGCATTAAAAAATTATGCTTAAAATTAATTGTAAATGGAGAAATAAGTAATGGAGAAGTAAATATTAATGTTATAGTAAAATATACTCTAACAAAGTCACAATATTTAATATAAAGCAGTATTATCTTAATGCTGTTAAAAAAAAGCAAAAATAAATGCGAAATTTATAAAAAATATTATTTACAAAACTATTAGAAGAAGAAATAATACACAATGTTATATTTGTATTATATCAACGACATCATATTGATTTTAATCATACTTTTAACTTATTACAAAGAAATCTTTTGAGGAAAAAATGAAACTCATTCGTAACGGTTTGGCTTACTTTTATTAGGTATCCCGTAAGTTCATAGTATAATGTTTTTTTTCTTTTATTAAGCTTTATGGTTCTTACACACATAGAACGGAACCGTTCTTCGTTCCGCTTCGCCACGATAGTTTAAAAACGGAAATGCTGAAACTCGTATGTAAAGAGTATTTCCAAGATGTGGACGCGGCTCTGTGTAATGCCGATCGCGTCTGCACGCTGATTTGTCGCTGGTGAAAAGTGGAGCTCGTGCTCGAGCGAAAAGTGAATAATAAATTTTTTTTCTCTCCCGCATCCGTCTAAAATACGGATAACGGAGCGGCGCAGCTGCGATCGTACGTCGCGTGAGCGTGTCGCGTCCAGCTTTCGAAAACCGAGATTGAACTTATGCGTAGAAACGGCGGTCAACGAAGATTTATCTGCCGAAACTGCGAGTCCGGTAATGATGGATTTAACATTGATTTTATTATCTTGCCTTCGCTGATACGCACACATACACACACATTCTCTCTCCCTCTCTCTTTCTCTCTCTCTCTCTCTCTCTCTCTCTCTCTCTCTCTCACTCACTCACTCTCACTCTCACTCTCTCTTTCTCTCGTACTCTCTCTTATACTCTCTCTCATACACTTCGTCGCGCATTTTAATTTTTCGCTTCACTTATCTCATTCGCTCTAACATCTTTCGCTTTCCTCGGCATCATCTCGTAGATTCGTTAAAGTCTATTTTTTTCTCGTTAACCCTAAAGCGCTTAAGGTGTATAGATGCGAATCCATGAGACGAGGCTTGCTTCGAGGAATATCTGCAGAGTGTTTTGCTGTCTTGTTTTTTTTTTTTTAACTTACGCTTACTTTAAATCGATAGTCCGCCTATCCGCGCGCTCGACAAATTCTGTCTTCTTTCTTTTATTTCGATTTTCTGACTTCTCGTAATCTATCTTTGCGTGGATAGCCATAAATCACCTTCGTCGAACGTTCGAATCGGCAGACGATGTTGCATTAACGATTAATTAGACCTCTTACTACAATGTGATCTGTCGCGTGCCGTCAACGAAACGCCCGTTAACGTGAGATCTCGCTTTAACGTTAATAGGACGCAGTCGAACTCACATGCTCGCAATGGATTGATCGAAGCTCCTGATTTACGATATCGGTTTCACACATTCGCTCAGTAATGTAATAGCAATAATTTTCACGTTTTGCCGAAAGATCGAACGCAATGAAAAATACATCGCCGATAACATATTTCGTCGAGTCGTACATTCGGGAGCTTCAATGCTCACGTGCAATAATCGCACGATCGTACGATGCGTTTCTCGCGAATGTCATCAGAGACGCGTTAACGAAGTATCCGCCGTCCCGAGGGTATCGATCGACGACAAATAGTTCCTCATTCGCTTCTAACCCCCCACAGCCGAGAATAAATGCCCGCTCGGACGAAAAAGCGAATCATCCGTGTCTGCAGAGCGCTGTTCTTCGAAAATTCGTATGCTGTTAAGATCGGAAATGTGTCATTGCATTCGAGGACAGGCCATTCGCTCTCAGTGCGACAAAAGCGGTAGAGGGTTAAAATTACAACAATCATATACATTTTCCGCAGAGCTAGTACCATTTACAGTCTTCGACGTTTAGCGTCCGTCTAAAAAATTTCTCGATAACATTTCGTTCTGCCGCTCGTCTTGAAATCGCTTTTCGGTGACCTGTCTCTCCCTCTTTCTCTCTCTTTCTCTCTCTTTCTCTCTTCTCTCTCTCTCTCTCTCTCTCTCTCTCTCTCCCCTCTCCTCTCTCTTTCTTCCATACACACAGAGCGTAATCGATTTCCGGGATGTCCTCCCGTCTTTACAAAGAATTTTTCGAGACCGTTCGACGGCGCGGCTACACGTTGGATGGATCACGTCGGAATTGGAATCGCGACTGATAGAGATCTATTTCTGGGTCACCGCATTTCACTTCGTCTTTCATCTCCCCGACGACGGCAGCCCGTCGTATCGTTCGTACGCGAACATCGCTCTTGCATATAGCCTACTATCTGGAAAAAACATCTAACTCGTGTTATCTACGCGTAAGAGCACATCGACATACTGTCAGGACGGTCACAAGCATCACTTTCGAAACCAAGTGTTCACACTTCGGAATTCGTACCGCGACTCTCGGGATTCGGCGCGCGTTTCCGCATCGGCCGGGCGCGGATCGAGTCGATCGCCTGTCAATCGGAGATTTTTCAAGCTCCCGGTCCGCGGCCGTGACCGTACCGTGAGCGGTGGCACGCGAGAAATCTAATTTACTTAAACGCACATTGTGAAGAGGAAAAAAGAAAGATTTGCACGATCGCAGTGACGGCTCCGGGAGCTTTAATGCAACGATCGAGGAGCTTGCGAGAAGGTATTTTCGAGATTTTCTCCGTTTTCTATCCCTCCTCCCCGCGACGCGTTCAGACAAAAACCGAGAATAAGGATGTAAGCTCACGGTCGGCAACGTCGAACGGAAAGAAGTGTACACTTAAGGACTACAATAGATTTCGGTACAAAAATTCAATGCTGTTCTACGACGTTAGAATTACGATCTTAGGACGACGTTTCTCAGCCGGGTTTTCGCCGTCTCGCTATCCTCCTCCCCGTTTGAGTTACTTCTCCCTATGCGCGGTGAAGCAAAAGGGCGACGGAGACGGACGCGGAATTGCATTCCTTCTTCCACCCCGCGAGGGGGAGGCCCGCGTTAAGGGAGGCATTGAAAGGAGCGATGGGGAGTTTTAATCGCGGCCGCGTGGCCTCACACGAGCCTGTTTTTAGCCCTTTTCATTTGCGTCGACGTTTGAATGTGGCCTCGCGAGGCGCGGGAAGAAGGAAAAACGGAAACGATATATAAGAAGGTGCCACAACGTCCCCGATCGACCTTTTTTTACCTTAAAATATGTCATTCGACCAACGCTTTGGCGCACGTCAGTCCAACGAACTTCTCTCAGTGTACTGAGCGTGTGTATTGTGTGCGTCTGTGTCCGTGTGTACGTGTGTACGTATGCGTGTGGCTTATTTTCTCTCACTCTCTCATTCCCTTTCGCGCCATGTTTTTTTTTTTTCTTTCAGTCTTTTTCGCGCTCAGACAGACTCACACGCTAAAGTTTCAGACCATACGCTCGCATTCGAGTCGCGCAGCACGCAGTCGTCCCTCGCGCACTCGCCTCTTCCTGATTATTAATGTCCGACAATATATCTGCATTTATATCCGTTAGTTTCTCTTACGCTAAGCGTTAATTAGTGTTACATCTAGTCGCGTGTGGCCGGCCCGTGCTATCCACGAGCGCGTTCGCGGAAAAACGCGCGCGCTCCTCTTCCCACGCACACCCCGGACGCACCGGCGCGCCTTGGAAAAGCGTGCGCGCCGGTGCTTCGCGCTTCGTTTCCGAAACGGTGGCTTTTTTTTTTTGCTGATCTACGACAAGTTGTACGCCCATCGCACTCGAAAACGTCTTTCTTAGTTATCCGGACGATGCGTGAAAATTGTGTCTCAATTTCCACGCGTGATCTCGCGTCACCCGCGAATGTTCGGAATGGAAATCTCAGACGATTTCGTGTTTATGAACATCGTATACATGTGAGCACGCGGCATCCTTTGTCAATAAAATCTCTCTGTCTTCTGATACCGTGCATGATTCCCGAGCCGGTTAGCACAGGCGGCCAGACCCATTCCAATGCGTGTTTTTTTTTACGATCCGAAAAATTACACAGTAACGTTATTTAGTGTTTATTTTTTTCTTGTTTCTTTAGTGTAACACGTACAGCATATCATTAATTAACGTTACGTTATTTATATGCTATGTTACGGTATTTACAATCACATGAATCGTAGATATTCTAACGAATCGTTCGTCTCCTGCCGGTGTCCTCGTGTCGTACGATGTATCTTTCTCTCTTTCTTCCTCTTTCTTTCTCTTTATCTTTCTCTTTCACATTTCCCTGTATCCCTTTAAGACTCTTCCTCAAAAAATTGTTTTAATGAGAACGCACTGAGAACGTACGTACTGTTCGCTTTATATGCGCCTCTCGTTTGTGCGAGCTGAAACTTGTTCAATATTCAACACCCATGTGCAACGTATTTGCGCGCGTACACATATACATATATATATATTTCTGTTCGTTTGTATATATATTTATATATATATATTTATTTATATATATAATATTATAAAAAACAGTATTCCTCTAGTACTTGCGAGAAGAAAGCAAATTCACGGTGGGCGCGGGCGCCCACCGGAAAGCCGTACGCTCGTCCGCTAAATTATACAACCGATCATGCTCAGAGACGGCGCGCCGCGGGCCAAAACCGTCGTGGAGATACGCGAGATATTATCAAAAGATACCTATCGAAAGTATTCCCCTATTGTTAACCGTCTATAAAATGTTTGATAATTTGTGAAAAATATTGTCGAAAAAGAATCAGAAAGGGATTTAATATACATATGAAATTGTTATATAATACGATAATATAGATTTATAAATTTTATATAAAAAAGGTGTTGTATTAACATTTCAATATGAATAATCGCGAGACGATAGGAAATAGTTACAATACGCATTTTGGAGAACTTTCGAGGAGAGAACAAAACTGTTTTTATTATATAAACATTGATTTTCCAAGTAAATTGGTATATAAATTTTCTCTATGTTCCTAAAAGATATTTCAATTTTCTATAAAAACGTGATACTTCCACGAAATCGCGTGACGAGATGCGTAAATGAGTCAGTAGAAAAGGCATCTGTTCTGCGCGGCCCGCGTCGCAGTGAATCAAACTGTGCATGCGCGGACGTATGATATATTTTGATCGGCGTGTGTATACTCAATGCGTTTTAATACCGAAGTTTTCTCTTTCTCTCGCGGATCGTCTCGAGACTCTCGTCGCCTTTGAACGGCTAAATATTAAATAGAGGCAGTGATAATTTCCATCGCGATATCTCGCTTCATTCTCGATCGACTTACTGCGGATAAAAATCATCCGTGTAAAATGAATGGCTTGTGATTTATTACTTCGACTACTTCTTGGAATCTGGCTGTATTGAGAATATCAGAATATCGCGACTGTGGATTTGATATGGTAAAGCGTCGCTTGATATGAATCTTTTCTTCCGATTGAATATTGCCATCGCTGCGTTATTAATGTTAATAACGACATTTTCACCTTCTAATGAGATCACTTCAAGTAATATACGTAAATTCTTTCTTCTTTCTTTGTCACTTTTCAAGCGATTACGGAGCAGACTCGTTGATCGATAAAATAAAGTTAATAATCTAATCGCTTTCGGCGCGTATCGACGAATCGTCTAAGGGACGATGGCCGAGATCGCTCGGTCTCAAGACGATCCTCAATTACGCGGTAGACGTCGAGTATAGACACGCTTGTTATAATCGGTCGCTATCGAATATAATTAATCACATCGCATTTCGAAAATTCATCGAACAAGTTTCAATTCTATTCGAGCGGCGCGGACGAAGTTTTTCTGTTCGTTTTTTTTTGCCCATTTTCACGACGGTTCTTTTTCTGTGTCCCGTCACTCATCGACGATCCCCTCTGCAACCTTCTCTCTTTTCCCTGTCGCTCTTATTTTTCTTCTATCTATATATTCTCTGTCACATTATCGCCTTCTTGTTCCTGTAATGGACGCTACGAAACCACCCAACGCCCTCGCGACAGGATCTCGGGATCGCGATCGTTCTTAGGGCGTTCCTTTCTTTGAGATTTCGTAACTTTCTACCTTGTTGAGCTAACAAACGGGAAGTACGTGAAACAATTCTGTAGGAGCACAAATATGGAATGTATCAAGAAATCACAGAATTCGCAATTATTGCTTCTTTTTAAGTATATAATTATTCGTTTTTTTTTTCTATTTAAAAGAAAAGTGAATACATTGGAACTCAATAAATGGCTTTCAAATGATGAATGTGTGCGACATTTCTTACCGAAATTTTGAGCTGCACTCATATTCACGGACCACCCGTTCTTCAAGCTCCATCTAATTTATATTTTCGACAACGTCAAAAATTTCATAACTTCCCCAGCACGTATAGCTCTCGCAGCAATTTAACAAGAATTCATATAATTAACTAATTCCTAATTTCTAACGGCCGGATCACTGTCTCGATAATCGAGATGAATCTCTTTAACTCTTACTTTGCGCGCAGGGAGAAAAAACATACTACCTCCGGGATCATTATTTTCTTCTCCGGTCTCTTTTTCCCTCTATTGCTTCACCCTCTATTTTCCGAATCCTCTCACCCTCGCCCTTTTTGTCCCTGATCCTTTGGAAATCGGCTCGCAATGGTCGAGGATCTCTTCTCTCGAGGTAGTCGGGGTCTCGTAGCAGGAGATAATCGATTATATGCGTATACCATTCTCCGGTCTTGCCTGATTATCGTTCCGTGTCAAAGTAAAATGGATCTTTCGAGTGGAGAAACATATGGAGCAGAAAAACGATGACGAATACGCGGGTGCTGTGATTCGCGTACAGTGTCACCACGCCTGCCAGCCACCATATGGTGGGACAGCCGCACGGCGCTGAACTCATGCCTCTCTGTATCGCCGCAGGGTGTTCCCCTAGAAAATTATCGGATATATTTGCATCTAATAAAACAACTATATATATACGATATTTACGTAATAGTGATCTATGTTTAGAAAAAAAAAATTTCAAGCTGTTCCATTTTTATTATTTTAAACTAAGTTTTTCTTTAATTTTATGTAAGTATAAGTCAACTTTTAAAGAACTACACTGACCTATATTTTTTTCGTAAAATAAATATTATCGTATTTATACTCTCTGCGACACGTCTCGAGTGTATTAAAAATTTCTCATATGCAGTTTTACGATCAGTGAAATTATAAATTATAAGTTTATGTTTAGACGAAAAGAAATACGAAGCTCACAATCAGTTTAAATTTTTGTATTTGATTTTTTAAGAACTGAAATACTTGAAATAAAAATAAACTTGAAATAAAAATAAGAATTTTTATTTCAAAATAATGTTCCACTCACCGTTTAGTACATGCAGCTGCACGCTTGCGCTGTCCAGATTACTCGGGCTGCAAGTATAATTACCCGAGTCCTCCCGTTTCGCGTTGTGGATTACGAGGCTGCTCACCGTATCTTGCTCGATCCTCTTCGTCTGAATGTCGATCTTGTTCAACTGATAATTTAGAACGCGATCGCCCTCGTGGTACCAGAAAACGTAGAACGGGCCCTCGAGGGACTGCTTTATCACGCATCGTATCGCGACTGTACTTCCGGTTTTCACGTACATGTCACGGTCCCCCAAGATCTCGATCTTTGGCACTGCAACACGACGGCGTTCGATTACTCGATATTTCCCCCCGTCGCTTCTCGCGGTTTGACGAACAAGCGGTTTATACATTACTCCGCGACTTACCGACGATGTTGAGCTTGATGATGTGACTCTTCTTCGGGTCGGTCGAGATTTGGCACTCGTACTCGCCTTCGTCGCGCGCTTGGACGTATTTCACCTGCAGCGTCCACGTGTCTGCTTCTCCAGAAATCGCTTGGAACCTTTCGTCCGGAATGAACATTGTTCTGTCCACCGAGAGAATATGCGCATCTCTTCTTCTAATCCAGGAGACCTTTAGCCGAAATAAACGATCACCTTACACAACGCGTTAAATCTTTTTCCAGAATACAAAATGTTTTCATAATCCTCCGACAATTGCGCGTTGAAATTTTATTAATTTGCAATGAAACTTCATTGTTGAAGTTGTTACTTAGTTTCCTCTCAGTTATTGTCGCAGAACAGATAATATTTTTAAGTATCCTTAAATATGTCTGAAATTTATTTTCATCAATTGTCGTTCTTGTAATCGCATTAGCTTAATCTCAGAATCGCGAGAATCATTTATTCACAGCTGAGCGAACATCGAGAGTGACAGAAAAAGTTAGTAATGCGTAAAAAGCTCGGCGAGTGTAAAGGATAGAGGCAAGATATAATGAAAAAAAAGAAAGATAAGAAACGGTATATTCGGCTTGTTCTGATTCCGGACGATCAATCTTCGACTCCTGCCGCCCAGTTAATTTATCGTTCATCGACCGGACGGCCATCAAGGAAGGCTCGCGCGCGATCGACGTAAATCTAGATGGTGCGCGACGTTAGGACGAGTGTGTGTTGTCGAAAGAAGGCGAGGTACTAGGTACATTTAATTCGCCGGCCGATAAGGATCGCGGTGGCGGCGACTGCGGGCCCTTGAAGTAACGCGCGGGGATTATACGGGGGTCGCGTGTTACCGGATACTTAGTCGTCGACCGCGTGCCAACAGCGACAGGCGTGCACCCTGCACACCCCGCCGCGCACGCTTGCGTACGCGTCCGACCGGTTCGTTAACGAGAGAGAGAGACGCGGGGACCACCTCCGCGAGGGCTGCGTGTCAATGGGAATTTTATTACACGTCCGACGACACCCGCCTCACGCGAAATTGTCGACACACACGTGCTACGGTTACCGATCTCGCGATGCGGGTTACGGGAGCGAACGGGAAGAGCCGGATAAAACGCGAATCATTAGCCGATTGGTGGCGTTCTATTAGCGTGGTAAATTGATCTGACGACGAGGGACCGCGGGGGAGAGATCGCGGAGGACGATTTAATAGCACGTGACACGTAGGCGGCTTATCTGTCGTCGACAGTTATCCGTCACGACGAAAATAGGATGGGTCTCGCGATAGTGCGGTCGTGAAGCTATATTAGGTATGACATTGCATTATCTGCGCGACTTTTGATAGAAGCAGTTGTGAGCCGTCCAGGATCGACGTTTATTCCGCAGCGGGCCGTTAATGAAAAGAATGATTGATAACGGAAATAACTCGTACTCGCTTTGATGCGCCGATTATAATCCGAGCGCTCGGTATTAATAATAAAATAAAAGCGAAGGTAGACGCAAAAAAAAAGACGTGTCCGCTTGCAAATAAATCTAGTTTGTATGTAGGCGACGAAATGGCATACGGCAAAAATAGGAATAAATCACCTTCCGAATTTGTTGCTCAGTTTATTGTCAGTGCAAATAATTTATCGGAAGGTTTTTTTTTTGTTATTGCCATATCTCAAATAAAGTTCTATTGTTAGTAGGAATTTGCCCATTTACGTGCCTCTGTCAGTCAGGAATTTGGCCATTACGTGTTACCGCGTGACAAATAAGCTCGTTAATAAATCAAACTGTCAATGTATGGAACATGTAAGGCACAGCACGTTCCTAATATCAAAAATATGGCAAAGATAAATTAGGTCTCAATTTGGTGGCACGATGACAGCTGTGCTTGATATGTATGAAGTCATGTTGGCTTTACATAAAGTTCGAAGATAAATGATAACACAAGACAATAAAAATTGCTGTACACGTCACATTGTTGAGATTAATATTTTTCACATTATTCAAAGAAAAATTGCTAGCTGAAGATTTTCATTGTTGACACAGAATAGAAATTGTCGATCGAAGCTATTTAAATTGCGCGATCGATCTAGTTAAAACGAACGGTGAAATTTAATCGAATCTAATTAATTATTACACGTAATATATTTTTGTACCGCTGGCCTTATTGAGCAAACTTTACGGTATATCGATGTGCAATAATTCTGTCTTTTCGTTCGATTAGAATAGCTCCGTGATCGAAATAGCAGCGCTCGGTTTCACCCTATCGTCCTTCTTTTAGGTCGAGATAATTAAGTTATATATTCTCAGATATAACTTACTGATTTGTTACCAAGTTGCCGCACTTTGCACGGTAAATAAGCGTGAGTGCCCAGCTGCGCCGTGATATTCGTTGGAGTGTTCGAGTCGAAGTAAGGCCCCGTGTAAATCCCGTCGAACCTCTTCACCAACGAATGCGATCTCGTACTCACTCCTGGAAAAGGAAACGATTTTCGCAAAAGTGTCTCGCGTGTGCGGCGGCATTTGTTACGTGCAATTGCTGGACGGAGAAATGCGGCGCAATGCGGATGGACGATCCCGAAAATATATTCTTTCGCCGGGGAGGGGGGGGGGGAAGGGAAACATCGCGAATGCGTGAAACGCGCGTGTTGCATCGGCGATGCATCCTTAAATTATATTCGTATAGCTCGCTTGTATCACTGCCGTCGGCACGTTATGCGGCAAATTAACATGGAGGTAGTGACGTTAGCGTCGCAATGGAATAATAAGGCAAGCCAGAGGTCGAGAAGGGACTATTCCGCATTCGTGCGCCGTATTCGCTCGCGCGCGACCGACGCTATTCAGAATAAATCCTATCGCGGAGCCAAGGTGCCGTGCCCCAGGGAAATGGATACTAATCCCAGGGATTCCGATCCGGGAAATCTAAAGGCGGATCAGTATTCGGCGAGAAAGAGAGAGAGAGAGAGAGGGAGGGGGAGGGAGGGAGAAATGCATGGGCGTTGTTCCAACGACCTTGACGATACCGCATTCGATCTAATATTTGATCGTGAAATCTCGTGCTTACTTACCCGGATTTGCTCAGCTATCACGATCACCGTAATTGAAGAATAGTTTCCAAATATTACGTCTATGTGTGAAGAATTCTATCTTGTAATACGGCGTAAGAATAATTTATGCACGCAGGAGTTAAACTGCGGGATATAGTTTTGCATGTTCTAGCACGTAGCTTATTTTACTTCCGCGTCTTGCTGTGATCCGTTGATTGCATAGGGTTTATTGTGTTACTAATTAGCGGAGTCGTATTTGCGACTGGCGTTATTAATTCCGCGCAGGCGTTTGAATTACGTAAGACGTGAGCATGTGTCGTCGCGCTATCAAGATTCGCCGAAACTTTGACAAACAACAAAGGTGGTGATAATTACGCTTAATTAAGATTGCCAGCGCGATAACCGCGACGTGATAAGGAATAAATATGAAATCACCTGTACACGATACAAACCTCGCTCCGCACGACTCGGCTTATCGCGGCATCGATTGTTCTACTTGTACGCAAGAAAATCACTGCCGGCGCTAATTATTGCTCCAGTCAAGCTAAACGCGGGGCAATAAATCATAAATTAATCTTAACGCACAATCGGTAAGCTAAGGTAAACATCGGCAACAATTTTCTCTCTTTTACTTAATTTCGAGGAAACTTTCGTTTTCTCTTCAAATAAAAATTCGAGGCAAAATTTGAAAATTGTAAAATTAATTCTAAAAGTAAAAATTCTCTTTTCTTTAAATTTATTGTTTACAAAGTTGAAAAAAAACCGTGTTATTATCGTTATACGGACTTTTCACAACAATTCGTCTAGTGCTGAATAGCGATTGATTTTGATCATTAACAGTTGGTTACGATAGAAACGTCCTTCTCTAGTCTAGCAACGGAATCATGTCGTTCCGGAAATGTTGTAGTTGTATCCTCTGTGATTCCGCAACCGACGAATCTATCTACTGACACGTTTCCGTGCGAACGGCATTAGATTGGCAATCAACGCGCGCGCGCCCGTATTGTCAAATGTGCCGGAGAGATACGAGCTTGTGTCGAAATGAGGCTACTACCGGTCCTTCTCTCGACACAGTCGATCCTCTCGGCGCGATCTTGAGGGACGTAAAATCTGCGCAGCTGCGCGCACGCGCCTCTAGTCGCCGCGGTTGTGCCCTTGTCGTCGTCATTTGCCTACCGCGAAAGGGGGCACAAATAGCGTTGTCGTTAAATGCTGCCTATGCCGCCCCAAACGTATTTTTCATCCGCCGGCGTGCGGTGGATCGAATTACATAAAAAATTGCGACAATCCCGCAGGGGTGCGTAATAATCGCATTTATCTCGTGATTAAATCGCGTACGCAAATTGGAAGATAACGCGTTCTAGATATGTATCAATGTAAAATTGCAATGTCACGTTATAATGATCGAAGCAAATTCATTAACAAGCAATGGTAAATGTTTATACATCGCTATGTCGTTGAACATAAATGCGACAACGAGCGGATGCCGGGTGAGTGCATTATTCATGTCGACGTTTTGTAAGTCGGATTGTGTCGCCCCGTCGTAACTCTCGAAGGGTGCGTGGAAATCACGTTCGTCCGGGAGATTCTCGGTAAAAGCTGTAAAGCCGGCGGACGGCGACACGATATTCTCAGTCGTGCATTATTTAAGAGTCTCGAAAAGAAATAAACCGTGCGCTATTTTGAAGACGTAAAATGTTATCTGGATTGAGTGGTATATCGCTTTATTGTTTATCAAAATACGATTTTACAGAGCACTTTGGATGTAAAAAATAGCAGAATAAAAAATAAAAGTAGCCCGGGGAATCGCCGTTGAGAAATACGAGCTATTACGAAAATCCGAAAGAGTTCCTTTCCCGCTTCACGCAGCAATAAGTCGCGAAGATGTGTTGCCGATGCACACCTCCCTGCTGTGTAATCGAGCGTGATTGGAACGTGATCGCGCGAAGGGAACGGGGAAAAAGTAAATTTTCCGGAAATAGAAGGCGGATCTAAAATCGTATATTTCCCGAGAGACAAAGCTGCGCGATGTGTAGAGAGAGATTCGAGTTGTGTCCGGGAGGGCCGGTGTTTCCTTTTCCACTTTATCAGAACGACACGTACGCGTGCTAGTGTAGTTTTACGACGTCATCGTGTACTAAACTGCCTCATAAATTCCAGTTTTTGGTCCGCTGAAAGATTATTTCCCGTCGACGTGACGTGATTTTATAATAACGCTCGCTCCCTCAACTGTCCTATATTGAAAATATTTACATGACGTACCCGTATCGCTTTAATCCTTTACTTTATAAGATTAATTTAAAAAGGCAAGAAATTTGCATTTATAACAATCTTTCCTTATTTACATTTAATTTTCTAAAGTATTTTCTTAAGAATAAGACAGAGAGTTCTCATTTTACTCGTTTGCTTTTTGGGAAATGCAATTTTCTGAATAACGCCAGCGACGTCGATAAACGCGCTGAAGCTGTTTCACAAAATATATTTCATGCATCCGTAATTTTTGCGAGTACCTCGTACGCAGTTTCGCCCGTGTGCTACGCGTGTAAGAGTCGCGCGTAGCGTCTCGAGGCAGTAGTTCAGTCCTGAGTTGTAGCAGCCACGTTGATAGCGCGCGTCGAACTTCTCCATTTCCGGAGCGGCCCGCGGTTAATCACCGGTGAAGTATAATCAACGGTTGTACACATACACACACACACACACAGCGGCACGTCTTTACATGTGCGTGCGTATATACGTACATGTAAGTACTTCGGATCGAAAGTGCATAATGTATCGCTGAAGCGATGCCGGAATAATCCGGTCATTACCCAGTCTGAACTGCGAAACTCCTCGCGGTGTAGTAGCTCTCGTAATCGAAAGCAGTTAGCGTACTTTTCAGTTAGTGTGCACGTTAGGGGAAACTACGCCGATCCTTACTTAAGCATATTATCCAAACAACCGGCCACGCAATCCGATTGCATCGACGCGGCAAGTCGATGGACTTTCCGCGCGACCACGAACGCTGACGAGTTCCACGGTGATAATCCGATTTTATCAGCGCTTCAGATTTTCCGCTCGCGCTCCGCTGCTCCCGGAATTGATCACGCCTCGCTAAAGAGACGGGCATGTTGCGAGCGAGGTCGTTCTTTAAACGACTTGTAACATGTCAGACATTGCGTCGCGCGTAGTCGCGCCAATCGGTTAAACGCTTTAGAGCAATCACATAATTTGTCTGTTTGCCTGTTCAACGGAGACAGAAAATTGCCCGCTTGTCAAAACTAATCCCGCGGTTCATTTCTCGCTTACATTCGAGAGGAAAGTTTTTACATTCTTTGCTAAAAAGGAAAGACTATTTTTTTTTAGTTGAAAATAGATTAATTCTTAAAAAAAAAAAATAGGAGCAAATTAAATTCGGCGGGGAGTAAAATTAGATGAGGGAATTAAATTCACTGAAAAATACTTGTAAATTAATAGATTGTTTTGCAAGTTATTTAAGGATATTTGTTTCCCTTCTTTTATCGACTTGACGTTTAAAAGAAGAAAGACGCAAAATCGCCGAGTTTCTTTCCGCGACATATCTCGGTAATGGAGCGGTAGAGATTGAGCTATTTTACAAACAGCACATACTCGCGATAACGTAGTTAACGCGTAACATAAACGTAGTCTCGAGAATGACGTCCGTGATGCTCCTGTTTCACGAGCGGGCTTTAAAACACGACCGCATCGCGGTGATGCAGCCGCGCGAGATGAAATCGATAGACACGTCCCTGAACGACGCCACAGCAGAGGAAAAGGGGGTGACGCGAAGCTGTCGTCCGTCTCCCTCCCCTCATCTTCATCCCTCGATGACGGAATCATCGAGACGACACGCTGATCTCGGTAGGGATCCGACAGAGGAGAGGCGGACAAAGAGGAGGAAGTCGTGAGGGAGAAGATGAGGCGGCGAGGGAGACAGGAAAGAGCGAGTGGAGGGAGGCACAATGCTGCGACGCGACAAACAAGGGTGGCGCTAGATACGGTCCTGGACCGGGGACCGGAGGTTGTGTCCCCCCTGTGTCCTCCGTCCTTTTTCCCTTATCTATCCTCGCATATCCTCGCGTATCCCGAGAACCCCGCTGTTCGCCGGCTCTCGCGGCGAGGAGAAGCGCGCACGCCGTATACGCGTCGTAACGCTCGCCGATGCACGCGGCGCGAAGCTGAGACGTATGCAACGTACTGCTACACCCCAAAATCTCTGATCGATCCATCCGCAGCACAAGTCCCTCACGGAGCCCCGCCTGTCCGCAATCCGTGCGACAGCATCGACAGCTTGATCACAACTTCTACTTATGTATATCGCGAGTCGAGTAAGCCACTTAATACAGCATCCGCCTAGCGGTACATCTTCCTCTGGCGGAGTCCTAACCTGGCCT